TGTTGATGTATATGGATGACCTAGAGATAGAGTTTAAGGTGCATCTTCCGCTTCTACTTCTAGGCCTTCTTCTTTTAGACCTTCTACTTCCACTACTACTGAGCCTCCATCTAGATTCTGGGATGTGTTGAGTGAAAGATATTTAGAACACCAGAATGATATGTTCTTGATGCAGTGTTGTATGAAGGATATGGCCAACAAATTTGATCATATGGCTGATTTTGTTAGAAGGAAAAGTGACGATGATGCTAATTATAAGGAGGTATTAGTGAAATTCATGATGGGAGACCAAACAGTTGAATTTCCTACTTTCCCTTGATTTACACCTTCTGAGAGTTGCAAATCTATGAATGAAGATATTATCTTTGAGTCTGATGATGATGAGGAGGAGGAAGTGGATTAGATTTTATTTTCTATTCTGTAGTAGTTATGATTTCTATATCTATCTTACGTTGGACAGTTTATGTATGTTTTGTTGCTCTGTACTTTTATCTTCAAGGCTACATTTGTTACCCTTTTGCTTAGAACTAGATGTGTGTTATAGTAGTCTTTTACATTACAAATTTTCATGATATATCTGTTTTTTATTTAAATTGTCTATACTCAGCACACATGTTTTTATTGTATCTATACTTTTCTCCTGCTTAGAATTTAAAATTTTTCTTTTTCTTCATGCTTATTATAAACTTAACTGTCTTAAACTAATTTTAAATTAAAGTTTGGGAGAAGGAAGAAAATTTTTAAAACTAAACCTTATTTTTCCTAAAGTAAAATATATTTTCAAAAATTATTTTAATATAATTTGAGGTATGTGGAGATAGCTTGAGATAACTATATCTTGGATTTTATAAATAATATAGTAAACTTAAGTAAAAAAAATTATAATGACAATATTAATTTTGGATTTAAGATATTTAGTATAAGAGTATAAAATTTTATTTTTCCTATTTAAAATAAAGAAAGTTGTATTTTTGGGAATGTTTAAGAACATGGATTTTTATTTGAAAAGAAAGGATTGAAACTTTATGAAAATTCTTTTTCAAAGGCAACACACATTTATCGAGTAAGGAAATGTGAAAAGGTTTTAACTTTAAGAAGAGGATGGTGGAGTTCAAAATCATTAAAGGCTATCCAGATATTGTAATCCTCACATAACATTCAAAAAAAAAGAAAAATATATGGAGGAGAAGCTTGAGGGGATGGCTAATTAAAAATTGAATTCACTTAAATCATCTTAAGAAAAGGGACTTAATCACATTTCCAAGCTTATTTATGAAGTTTTAGCATTTTTTCTAGTAAAGTTCTCTTGATATTATTTTTCATGTAATTTTTTTAAGTATCTTTAATATGACAAATTACAAGTATTCTTAAAATATAGAGGAAATCAAATTTTTATACTTGACTACTAAATATTTTTACATTCTAGTTTTAACTTATGCTATTAAAATTTTTTCTAAAGTTTTACTATTGCATTTATAACTATTAAAAATTTTTCTAAAGTTTTACTATTGCATTTATAAAACCAAAACTATAGAAATCTTTAAGTGATGCTCACTACCTTAAGTCATAATTTTGACATAGTAAAAGAGTTATTTAATTTATATATATATATATAAAGGTTACTTGAGGAAAAGTAACGCTTAAGTTTGGGGAAATTCATCCACCTTTAATTTACCTAGTTTTTATGTGCATTTTATAATGAATTTTTTAGAATATTATGCTTTCATGAAGGGTATTTTTATGTTTTTGATTGCAGGTGCAAGAAAAAGAGTTTAAGAGTAAAAATGAAGAAAAAGAGTTTAAGAAGGTGCAAGAAAAAGAGTTTAAGAGTAAAAATGAGCAAAAATACATCAAAATGGAGCAAGATGGGCTAAATTGAAGAAAAATATCAAACCAACTGAACTGGTGCCAAGGCGCTAAATGCAGAAATTAGGAGGTGCCTAAGCGCGACAGTTGGGCGTCTAGGCACCACGGTTATCTTCTAGAAGATTCATTGAATGAGGTCAAATTTTGAAGAGATGTCTGAATCAAACCTTGGTCATTTTTGAAGCTCTATAAATATAGATTAATTCTAAGAGGCTAGAGGGTCAGATTTATAGTTTTATAGTGTGTGAGTGTGTTAAGTGTGTGAGAATTTTTCTTTGTGAGTCTTTGTTATCTCTAGAGTTTGTGAGTTTTGTAAGTGTTGTTGGAGTTAAAGAAGTTAGAAAATTTTAAAGGGGTGCTTGGGGGAGCATTCCAGATAAGCGTTTGTATTTTTGTCCTTATGTTTTGTAATTTGGATTGGAGTTTTATAAAAATGTTTTGTTTTGTTATCCTTATGCTTCGTGAGTAGTTTTCTTTTCTTTCTCCTTACAATATGAAGTAATTAAGTAAGTGATTTTGATTTTGTTTAGAACTTATTTTATTCCTAAAATTGTGATGATATTTTTACCGATCCTTCATTTACTTTATAAATTGGCCACTTGTATTTTTAAAACCTGTTGAGGAACTTATAGACAAGAAAGGGCTAAGATTACTTTACTTGTAAGTATCACATTCTACCTTGGAAAGAGGATTCACGATCTTTTAAAGGAGTCACGATCTTTTAAAGGGGGTGGGTGCAAATATATAGGGAGATAAGATTTGATGGATGTAGAATTGATGTTTCTATAGTGGCAGACTAGATTATTTTATCAATTCATTCTAAATATTAGAGCTAAGGGTCACAGTAGGTCCTACAGAGAGGGAACAGTGGACAATCTAAGTGTGAGAGACTAGAATCTACCTAGCACTACTATACATGCCGACACCAACTTTAGATTAGCCTATATTCTTTGCATAATTCAAAAGAAAGTAATGAAATATGCATGCTCCTATTTGTCACAAAATCATATTTAATTTTCTAAATAAATTTTGAAATCCTACACTGATTCTGAATTATTGGCAAGAAGAAAGTCTTTTTTTATATATTGTCTAAGTCATTACATTTAGCTTTATTTGGATTTTTTTGAATTTAGTAAAATTAATTTTCATCTTTAGATAGTTGTTTTATTTGGATTTTTTTCGAATTTAGTAAAATTAATTTTCATCTTTAGATAGTTGCTGCAATCTTAAGTAAAGTTTTCTTAAAGTCAAAACTCCTTCATTTTATTGTTTACTTGTTTTCGACTTCTTCGTGGGATCGATATAGAGTTTTTAAAAAAAACTCTATATTACTTGAAACGATACATATACTAAAGTATTACCCCTAGTGAGAAAATTATTTCATTAATCATATTACATTTGTTCTCATTAGCCACCAAATATAATTTGGGTCAAGTTTTTTAGCATTTTAAGGAGCATTAATATCTGCGTAATTGCGGGTCGAGTCATTGACTTAGGAAAATTAATTGACAAGAGTTTTTATATAATCACGATGAGTTATTTTTTACCATATTATTAGAAGGTTTTATATTATTATATATTTATGCTTCTTAAGAAATAACATAAGTTATAAGAGATATTTCCATAGGCCTTGGAGGGGACAAAATAATAATGTTGATATAAAAAAACACTACCTAATGGAGCTCTAAAACCTACATTGGAGGGAGTTGAATGTTGCGAATTTTTTATTTAATATGCACTATTTTTTACTTAGTTGATAACTTTTTTAAATCTACTTTGCAAAAAAAAATAATAATAATAAAAAGAAAAATTTAACTCTTTAAATTTTCTTAAGTCTATGTATTTAAGAAATTAATAATTTATCCCAGCATAGTTGTGCCATAAACTTCATTTTCCCATCAAAACTTATTGTAAAAAATCTTAATTTTTTTTTTCCTTTTTTGAGATAATAAGGATAATAATCAATGATATAATTTGTGATTGTTGAAAGTACATCTAATGGTTGGAATTGATTCACTACCATTAAAGTCTTAAGCATTAGGAATAAAATTTAAAATATAAGGATAAATCTCTATAAACAAAAAGAAAATTTCCCTATCATTTTGAATAACTTAATCGTTGGTTTATAACTTAGGGTTTTATATTGCTTTAAATTTTAATTTTTGTTAACCTTAGACTTACATTTATATATTCCCCCTAACTTAGAAAGATAGATCATTGAAAACTTGACTATATTGCTTTTACCTTTTTTTAGATTTTTACTAGCACCCATCATCTCTTCGAGCCATTTTAAATCCTCTTAGCTATTCAATGATTTAATGAGTACTATCATTTAAGTGCTTCATATGAAGACATAGTCATCTTAATTGGTTATGAACATCTATCTTTTGGACTAGCAAGTTTTAACACATTTGCATTCCTATTGAAATAGTAGTCTACAAATCAGTCTTTTTGATATCAACCATAGAATTTAACTCACACACATATCTTTGATAATCAAGACTATTTTTCTACATATTTTCTTCGAATGAAATAATCTTAAGGAGCCTAATCTTGTTGGAAGATTGATTAACTTAAATTATTTACCACACTTTACTTGACTTGACCTTAATGATATACTTCTAATAAATGTACTACACAAATTTAGATAAAATTTTTTAGTCTTACTTAGTGGACCTCTTTTATTTATCCTCTTGTTGGATCTCCTATATTAGATAAACACCATCAAATAATCATCCAATTCTCCCCTCAAAATCATATTTGGCAAAGTAATCTCTCTCATAAATAAGTAACTAAACTAAATGAGTGCATTTAGAACAATATTTTATAAAAAAAATTGAATATTTGAAGAAATTTTGGATCCTCACCCGACTAGGTAATTGACTTCACTTAAATTGATACAAGGAAAAATGAGGCTGATTAATTCATTTTCATTTCCACATCCTCCCCGAAAAAAGTATATACAAAATATAAAACAAGCTCAAATTAACTACTTAGCTTTTACCTCTCTAATTACAAACAAATATTATTGATAAAGAGCATCGATCATCTCTCATAATAACCTCACCGTCTTGAGCAAAGCCTTCTTACTGAATTTTTATAGTGTATGCTCGAGGCATTCAATCCCTCCGGCATACATTAATATAATGATGAATCACAATGGTATGATCACACTTGCATCTTCAATCAGTGTCGATTTTTATTTACCCCAAAATTTCGTTTTTTTTTTATACATGCATAAAGCAGGATTGGTGTTTAAATAAACGCCGAATCTCATTATTTGATTAACATCGTAATCTTTGGTCATTATTGTCTTAAGTTGCCATGTTTTATTTATGAAGTAAGCTTTTCGCACCTCCATCAGCGCTCTCGCGCTTTCTTCGAAAACTTCGTTCGCTGCCGCCCTATTGTCGAGCCTTCCAGGCGGACAGCGCTTTATCAGTCGCAGAGCACTTCTAGGTCTCCTAACATGAACGAGGGGAACAGTCTTTTGAAGCCCGAGGTATATCGTCGTATCTTTCTTCCTAAACTGTTTTCTTTTCTCCCTGATTTTCACAGATTGAATTCGGTTTATTGGTGCTGCAGGAATCGTATCCCTTCTTTACCATTTCGAATGATGACCAGCTCGGGCAAAGTTTGGGCTTTTTCGGTGCACCGCAGAAACCCCCTCTGCCTCCATGTATCGAAGTGCCCCTTTATGAGGTCATTTCGTATTTTCTGAAAGCTTGCCATATTTTGATATCTTTCAAGGATTGCGACATGATGCTTGGCTTTTATTTATTTTTTATTTTTTGTATTTTCCTAGTAGCCGGCAGAGGTACCCATAAAATCACATACAGAGCCCATTATTGTCTGCGATGGGCATCATAAGCTTACGTTTCTTAAGGTTTGCGAATGTTTCAACATTTTGGGCAAGAAATCGCATAATTGTATTAGATGCAAATCATGGAAATCGGGATTTTATCATCCTTTTGGTTTTCTTCCTTTTCGTCTCTTTCAGGGAAGAGTCAGTACGTCTGATGTCTTTGGAGTTTCGAATTCAGATTTAGTACCAGGGAAGTACGAAGGTGAACTTTCCTTTTTTTAGATCGACTTTCCTGCCACTTTTGAGCCACTTGTTTGCCCAAGTTTGAATTTAGTCTTATAATCAACATAAAGTGGGCTGCCTTTTTTATTTTATTTTATTTTATTTTTGTTCTTTGTTTTTTTTAGGAGGTTTAAAGTTGTGGGAAGGTTCAATTGATTTGATAAAGGCTCTGAATGCTGAGATTGAAGAAGGGAGATTAACTGTTAAAGGCAAAAGGGTATTAGAGGTGAGCTTCTTTCGATTGTGCACAATTGAGATTAACATGTTCAATGAAGGTCATAGTTAAAATAAAAAAAAAATATGACATTTACAACCTCCATGCATATATTCTCACCAGTTATTTATGTACATGAAAGATTTATAAGATCAAGGAGTATTTTTGCAAGATTTAAAAATGTGAAATCAAGAACTGAGACGTTATGCTTTAGCAAGGCGAAGCATAAGCCTTGAGATGGATTGAGCCATAAGATTTAAAACAGAAAAAAAGTAAAAAATCATAAAAATATATATTTAATTCATGAATATGACAAACCATCAACATTTTTATTTAGTTCATCATTATAATGACAGTTACAAATTTTAATATAATGTTAATGTAAAATAACACTTTGAAATGAGATTTAATGTAAATACTCATTCTAAAGTTCAAATTGCCATAAGGATTAGGATCCACAATAGTCTCATTATCATTTTCATTATCTTCGAAAGAATCATTATATGCTCTGTCATTCTCGAATTCTATCTCATCATCTTCTTCAAAATTAACTTCAATAACTACTTCTTTTCTCTTACTCCCTATATCAATAAACATTGAGTTCAATTTAATTTTAAATAAAATACTAAAATTAATCACACGACTAGGTAATTTACTTCACTTAAATTACCTTTTGATTTTCTTGAAGCTCCAACCTTACTTTGCTTCATTCTCTTAAATGATTGTGAAGTAGAAATCACTTCAAATTCTGTTGTTGTTTCATTTCTTTTAATGCTAGCATTATATTTTCATTTTTATCATCATTACAAGTTATTCTCTTACTATCAAATTCAATTTTTTTCGTAGTTTTTGGCGTTATCTATCAATCATTGGATAAAGTATCATTAAAATTGATGGATCTATTCCATTATCGTCATTTCATTGTTTCGTAGCTTCAGGAGTCTTTCATTTTTTTTATTGAATTTAACATGAACTAACTTGTTTATTCAACCTACAATAAATTGGCTCCTTTTCTTTGTATATAATTGATTGAATATGCTTCAACTATGCTTACATGTGAAAGATGAACAAGTAAGCTATATCTATATATCTATATATATTGATTTTCAGAATTCAATGGACTTCTATTATTGATATGAAAATGGGGTATAAATACTCTTACATGAATCTTAGAATAGGAAAGACAAGAAAAGGAAATAACATGAAATAAAAGATATAACACATATATTTCCAATTAATTAATTCACAATAATTGTGTTGAGATAAATGAAACGATGTAAAGTAGAAAAGCCTAAAATAGGAAAGGAAATAAATCCAATCTAAGGAAATAAATTTAAAATAGGATAGGAAATAAATTCAATCTAAGAAAATAAATCTAATCCTCATAACTTTAAACAAGAATAAATTATTTTCTAATATAACTTCTAATACATCCCCTCATGTTGAAATATGGTTAACAACCATGTTGATCTTGGATTTGAAAATATCAAATAATGGGCAAGGAAGATTCCTTATGAGCTAGAACTTGAAGTCTTCATCCCGTACTTGGTAATCAACTCTAAGGGATTTTAAGGATATTTTTAGTTGACTACGGTTGTTTTTAACTGCAGTTTTTTTAGTGTCTATTGGTTAGCAGAAGACTCCTGCACGCAATGCTATAGGGAAGCCTGCAGGGAAATCGACAACATATAGGAAAAACTACAAGGCATGGTTTGCAAGGAGAAAAAACTCTGAAGGAGGGCTTGCTACAGGAAAAAAATTTTAGAAGAGGGCTTGCTGTAGGGAAGGAGGGCTTCTTGCAGGGAAAAGCTTCGCAGGAGGTCTTGCTATAGGGAAGAGCCCTGCAGGAGGCTTGGAGGGCCTGCTGTAGGAAAAAAGTTTTGGAGGTAGGCTTGTGATAGGAAAAAGCGCTGGAGAAGAAATTCAAAGGTACTTAACTCAGTGAAATTGTTGCGTAAAGTTTTACAAGAGTATTGTACCTGCTTATGCGTGGAGAAAAGGAGCAAAGAATACCATCATGTTTTGACATTTTTGTTGCAGAGGGCAACACTAGCCATGGTTTTGGAAGGTCAAGGAAGACAGAGTTCGCAACTCTACAAAATATATCAGGGAAGCCTTCTTCCTCTTGGATATCCCTAACAAAAATAGTAATAAAGCTTCCTAGCCCATTCGTATTGAAAATTTTCACTTGCCAGTGCTGCTCTTTGCTCATGAAAGTTGAATGTATAAACATGGCCAGAAGGTGCAACAACTCTAGCAAAAGAAGTAGTTAGATAACCATTACCAATCTCTGACTTCAAAACCACACACTGTGGAACAATTTCCAAGTAGGATATCACAAATTTGATATTAGCATGGAATAAAATCTGAGTCCTGTGACTGAGAACTAGAGTCCACAACTTAGGTGTTGGAAATAATCGATGAACAAATCCACCCTTATTGTTGAATATCTTGGAACCAAAAGGTTTCCTTATACAGTCAGAATGCATAAAAAACTCTATATCTATTATGGGAGTCTTAACCCTCCTTTACTTTGATAGCTTTCATGTTATCGTGTCTCTCATACAAAAGCACCAGTCGCCATCACAGATGCTGCGCTGAAATATATATATTTTTTATTGTTCTAATAAAAAGATCCTCGTGCTATCACATGCAATTTATTGCTACTACCCAATATATTCCACAAAAAAATTATTTTTTCTTCCGAAAGTGAATCATTGGTTCTTAATAGTAGTATATCGATGTGAAGGAGTGATACACGACCGAGAAATATTGAATGATGTGTAATTTGGGAGGAGAAAAAGTACAGTTTTGAGGGGCAGTGGAGACTCCTCCCTGATGGTTGAGTGATGTCGTGAATGTGAAAAATGAGCGACGGTAAAAGTGAGCAGAGATGATATATTAGATTCTGGAGAAATGTGTCAGAGTTTAGGGTTTGGGTGGTCCGCTGGCTGCTATTGCACTTGGATTATATTTATTTCAGCAATTTCAGCGCCGATAGAAAGGAGATACGAATGTAGCAGAAAGACTGCAGGAGGATGTATCTCCGCTAAGGAAGCTTGTAGGAATTTTGCAGATTGCAGTAAGTTTTCTAGCCGACAGAAAAGTTTTCCAGCTGCTAGGGACCTGCGAGGAGAAAGTTCCGGTGGCTAGTTCCTGCAAGGAGTTCTGGTGGCTAGGCTCTGCAGGAAGAGGAAGTTTTCGGCGTCTTAGGCCTATAGGGAGAGGGTGTTGGCTGCAGGAAAGGCTATAGAAGAGAGTTATGGCAGTGGGAAAGGCTGTAGTAGAAAATGCCGGAGGCGAGAAAGGTTGTAAGAGGAAATTCTGGCGGTGGGGCATGTAGGGAGAGGAGGTTTCTGACGGAAAAACTGAACAGCTAAGGCGGAGGAAAGCCCTACAACATGTCAAAGATTGCAAACAACAGGAAATAGAAAGTTTCTGGCGGCAAGAGCCTCTAGGGTTTGTTTCAAGACTTTGTTTGGTTTTGAACTTCATAATTTACCGGAATTCTTTTATTGATATGAAAAGGGGTATAAAAACCCTCACATGAATTCTGAAAGAAAAAAGACAAAAAAATTGAAATAATATGAAAGGAAAGATATAACACTTATATTTCTAATTAATTAATTCATAATAATTAATTGGATAACAGAAACAACATAAAATCGAAAAAAAATAAATCCAATCCAAGGAAATAAATTTAAAATAGGAAAGAAAATAAATCAAATCCAAAGAAATAAATACAATCCTCATAACTTTTAACAAGAAAAAATTTTCTAATAAAACTTCTAACAATATATATATATATATATAAATAAAATTATATTAGGACATAAATATATATATAATATTATATTCTTTATTGTTGGTAATTAGATTAAATAGATTTTTGGATTAGTTTATATTGTATGAGGTTTAAGCATATTCTCGGTGCATTCGCCTAAAGTTTAATATAACCAGCTTTGAGTTGCCGTTGTTGTCGTCTCTCCTCTCGCGTCTCGTCGTCTTTGTTCGAAGCCGATTGCGGCTCGCGTCTCGTCGCCTCTCCCGACGGAGTTCGCATCTTGTCGTTCTGTTCGATCACAGCTTCGCATCTCTCCGACAGAGCCGACTGTGGCTCGCGCCTCGTTTCCTCATTTCTTCTTCCTTCTCGACTCAGCTCGAAAACTCGACTGCACCGAGTTTGGTCTCTTCAGTTCCTGACTTGCCCTTTGACCGACTTGGCAGGGCTTCTAAGCTGTGATGAAGCTTCCTTCTTCTTCAGTTGAATCTGACAAAGCTTCGTTTGCCCACGTGATGGGTAATCCTTAGGTGGAAACGACAGTTGTCTTCCCCTCAAGTTATAAGGAATATCGCGATGATACAGGAGACTGCCCATTTATTAAGAATGCAAACAGGAAAAGTGGGAAAACAGCTCTTTTTCACGGAGTTAGAAATTTCAACCCTGACTAACAAATTCAAGTTTGCTCTTATTGAAAAATTTCATTGGGGGCACCCACCTATGGAAGTTATCAAGAAAAGTTTTGATAATCTCAAATTAGCAGGAAAGTGGAAAGTGGGGCTTATGGATGGGAGACATGTATTGATCCAATTAACCGTGGCTGAAGACTACATTCGGATTTTCTCCAAAAAAATATCTTAGCATTGCTGATAAATCAATGAAGCTACTCAAGTGGTCTCCTGATTTTGACCCTAATCATGAACCTCCTACTGCATCGGTATGGTTCAGTCTATCAGGTCTCAAGCTGAATTTTTTTCATCATCAGGTTCTTTACTTTATTGGAGCCATACTTGGGGACCTATTGAAGCTAGATGTACCGATTTTCAACCTAACCAGACATTCTGTGACCAGAATACTTATGGAAAGAGATGTTACTTTACCTGATGTTACTGAAGTCTGGTTGGGCACAACTCATAATGGATATTGGCAACAAATCGTCATGGAGAATAGACCGCCTTACTGTTCTCATTGTAAGATGTTTGGGTATACACTTGATAAATGTCATAAGTTT